CTCCGGCCCCGCAGCCGGTTCCGCCAGAAACCCAAAAGGCCGCTGCGGTGCCCCGGTGGGGCCCGCCGTGATGAGCGGATCTAACTTTCCTTTCGGGCTTTGCGTTGTTTTTCTTACTTTTTAAAAAAATTAATTTAATCCTATATATATTTTTTATTTTTTATTTTTTAAGTTTACAGTGCCATTTTCTTAGCACATTTCGGCGACCTTCTTTCATTTTTTTGCCAGGGCTATAATTAACTACATACAAAGAATGCGCCTCTTTTACACATGGCAGCCAGGAAAGACGCCTGAGCTTTGAAGCCCTCTGCTATCGCGTTTTCGATCATGTTTCCTCACATATTACACCACGAATTCTCCATGTGTGGTAGTTTCAGAGTTATACGTTTTTGTCTTGAACATGCTATTTTGTTTGCCCGTGCATTTATATATTTATGGATTGATTTATGTAAACGAAAGTAAAGAGGAATCTTTGTTCAAACCCCCCCCCCCTTCATCACACATGCCCGTGAATTACTCGATATAATGTGCACGCGACTGTGCATATATACAGACGCATATCAACATAAACAACGGGTAGGAAATAAATTATTGTTCAATTTGTCACTAAAAGTCATTTCCATGGAAAAGCTGTGCTCCATCGTTAGAGACTTTTGGTTTTCTTTCTGCCATTTCGAAATACACACACACACACAATATCAGAAGTAGGTAAACAAAGGGAAAAAATATACAAGGTAAAATCTGTAAATCTGCCTGAGATAAAACAGTAAAAGGATTTGGTGGGGGCTTGGTGACAATTTCTTACCAGAGCTGGAATGAACATAAAAGAGTGTTGTGTGGCAAGAATACTGTTTACGTGTTAGTTACATATCGCCCCCTCCATGATTGTTGTCGAAAATATGGAGGCTGACGTCTTAGAATCCATCGCAGTAGAATATCCAATAAAATATATTTCATCAAATCAGTGGACTTTGTAAGATCTCTCAGTGATGTGACCTTCAGGTCTTCCTTGAGTTTGTTGCCTTGGCCCAACACTGACATATTGAAATTTATAGTCCAACCTTTTAAGACCTAGTTTGTCTGCATTTTTTTTTGCTTTTCTCCCCTCAAACAAACACAAACATCAAAATAAGGTGGTTTCAAAGAAAAGCGCCATAGCATATCGTAAACTCATTAGGTCCAGACGTCTAGCCATCTCAATGGTTTTATTATACCACGGTTCTTCCTGTTTTAAAAGAATTATAGGTATCTTCTCTACAATGGATGGGAAGCAATGCAACACCTTTTCCTGGCAGGGCATGCCTTTACGCTTTTATTTTTCTTTCTTTCTTCCCGCCCCCCCCCCCCCCTTTTTTTTTTTTTTTTTTTCCCCCCCCCCCCCCCCCCCTTTTTTTTTTTTTTTTTTTCCCCAGAGTTAAAAAACATTAAAACCAGGGCTCTCAGCTCTCCCCTTAATCTTGAATTATCCGAACTGCTCGTAAATATTTACGGGTCCTTCATTTTAATGGTTGCTCTTTAAACAAAGCATTTTTACAATGAACTTCATCTCAATTATCTTTATAAAGTCATGTGTGTTTATAAATGCAGATGGCACCAGACGCGTTGCTAAATGAGCTCTCGCCAACAAAGCCGAACGTTCTCCAGCAGCCGCGTCCCCCCAGACCTTCCCAACCTTCAGACCAAAGACCGCGGCTAGAAACGGCCTTCCCTCCCCAAATAAAAATCGTTTAAGCGAATAGACATAATTTTCCGTCCTTGGCCCTGGCGGACCGGTGCCGGAATGTTGCCTAAATTATCCCAGGGGATGGCTGGTGTTTCAAAGCCCGCTCGCACATGAGGAAGCAGCGCGGCCGCGGACGCCCCCGCACGGCGCGGCCGGAGCCGGCCTCTCCGGCACTGACCTCCAAGCGCGGGCCGCGGAGCGCTGCGCGGGGACTGCGCGGGGCGGAGGCGCAGAGGGCATCGCGAAGGGCGCACAGATTTCTCCTCTCACAGCAGCGCATGTCGTTGGGTCACGGCAGACTTTATTGTGTAATAACTGACAACAATTACAACAGGTCCGTACTTCGAGACACGGGATGGTTAATTAATACAACAGTCACCGGGGGCAGGGACGCCAGCAAGCCGGGGGGACCGGGAGACGTGAGGCCTATTGCGAGCGGCTTCAAGGATGAGACAACCTCCTAATAGTGCTCTAAAGGTGGGGGACGAGGGGAGGGGAGGGAGGACAGCTCGTGGCCTTGCTGTGGCATCTATTGCGAAGGAGCGAAATTCAGACCTAGAAAGCAGAGGTTCCTCGTAAGGTTTCCTCTTGGTAAATCGTGGACAACACAGCTCCCCCGTTGATTTAAGCGACTGTAATTTAATATCTATTTTATTATCGTAATTATAATTAATTTCCTTACCTTTATTTTGGCAAAGTAACTATCTAGACTACATCACTTGTAAGAAACGTGTCAAACATTTAATATCAGATAGATTTCCCAGGGCTGACGTGCACTCACAATACCATCAACAAAACGTTCTGGGAAGGAGAAGGGAGGGAAGAAGCGACTCTGCAAAACACGTTGGCGAGCAAGACAAAATTTCCCAAAATGCCTGACATAGACCACGTTTCACTTCTATCTAAAAAAAACAAAACCAAAAAAAAGGCAGATTGATTTAAAGTTCTTGGGGTAGGGGAACGCGGGAGGAGGAGAAATCTGGGGGGGGGCTGAGGGGGCAGAAGAAGGATAAAACCAAACAAAAAGAACCCCAGCAACCAAAAAGCCAAAACAAAATCCCAAACCCCAAAACTTAAAACTAAATCAGTATTCCCCAGCTGCGTTTCTACACCAGCTTTAGTCTCCTTTATTGCCTTTCTCCTTGTTCATCTTTTTCATTTTCATTCTTCTGTTCTGAAACCAGATTTTGACCTGTCTCTCTGTGAGATTTAAAATCCTAGCTACTTCATAACGGCGATCTCGGGTGAGGTACATGTTAAAGAGAAATTCCTTTTCCAGTTCCAGAGTTTGATACTTTGTGTAGGGACAACGCTTTTTCCTCGTTGAACGAGCATGGATCCAGTTTGCTGCAGGGTTATCTGGAAGAAGGGAGGTATATAGGGGACGGGGTGGGGGGATGGAGGGGAGAGAAAGGTCGTTAAATTAATTTAACGAAGGATGGACTGTTTTCACAACTTTGGAGGAATTATCATAAAAGCTTTAATGCCCCAGTCTGTTTACTGTACAAATGATGTCTTGATGGTAGGTGGTTATGTGGAGTCTTTTATGGGTGCTTGTTGCTGCTTGCGCTGGGGTAGGCGTCTAGACGTTTTTATAGGTTAGTAAAACTATCAGTTTTGCACATTCGAGCCTTACAGGTTTCGGCAATAAATCAAAGGGGCAATTTCTTCCTTTCTTTCTTTCTCTTCCTCTCTTTCTGCCCCTCTCTCTGCCTCTCTCCCTCTCTCTCTCTCCCCCCCCC